ATCTACAACAATGATAAAGTTCAATTGCGTTGTTAAAATACTTAGTAAAGAGCAGGAAAGTAATTTGTTTACTCATTTATCATATAACATCAGTCCTGATTGCATTAATCTCATTAATTTATTTCCTTATATTAAAACTCGGGAAGCACTTCTTGTGTTTTGCTGCTAGACAGCAATAAATCGTTTTTCTCGTTGTCACGTCGACAGCGTGATGTGACGGACCGAGAATGAGCCAAGATGCCTAGTTTAAATAATTAAGAAATCAATTTTCGATGTTTATCATACAGCATTAATTATTGCGCAGCCTTTCCTTTTCGATAAACGAAGAAAGAGCGCGCAGTCTATCTGTATAAGTTTATGGCCTCTCCCCACCTCTGCTGACATTTATTGCTGCCAAACAATACAAATCTATGTTTTTATCGCTGTTTTATAGTGTTTAATTATAAAAGAACATTGTTTATAGAATTCATTTATTTACAGTCATGAATGTAGGAAACCAGGCATTAAATCTGGATAAAATTTTACGAGATGACGATGAATCTGATTTTTTGCCAGCAGGCGGGTATGTTTATTTTCCTTTTTCAATGAATTAAGTCCTTGTTATGTCAATACACACTTAAAAAATATCACCCAGAAAAATATTTAGTAGCTGTATAATATATACGATGTATGTATAACGTGTAATTGAAATATTACAAAGGTTATATTTTCAAAATTAAACTTCATTCTTTGCGTTTTTATTATTTTTACAGTCTTACTGCAGTCAATAAATATGTAATTCTTTCAGTTCAAATTTAGCTGCTATCTTCGGATTGCAATCGAAAACATTAGATGGTTCTTTAATGAAACAAGTCCCCAAAAAAGTAAACACACCTCGAAGTTCGACTCAAACAATCTCAAACAAAGCAGAAGTTATAATAGCAAAAGCAGTTTATGTCTTCAAATTGTGAGATTCAACATTTTATTTCTTCATTCAGTCTATTCTAATTATTTTCTAATACATAAAATAATTCATATACTTCATTTATAGACAGAATGGAAGTTATACATCAATTGGCAAACTTGGCATAGCTCTTACAGGAAATTACGTAACAAAATTATATCAAATTATTTTATATAAAAATAAACAGGAGCACTTGTCACTTGTTACAGTAACTCATGATTTCTTATTTGCTATTCAACCAAACAATTATGCAAGTTATTATGATAGCAATAAGGAGAACTGGTCAATTTCATTTGAAAGCAATGATGTTTGTATAGAATTTGCTAGAGAAGTAGGGCTAGCACGATATTTATCTAGGAATGGAAGGCTGGAAAATGTACTTTATCAGAATTTATCACCAGCTAATAAAGATGCAATAGCAAAAGAAGGGAATAATGTATCTCTCAAGTATTTTATAACCACAGAAATAATACAGCCTCTTAGAGAAATTCCTACAACATATCAAACAATGACAGTAGAAATATCCACAGATGATAATTGGGAAAAAACACTTGTGGGAAGCAGCAAGGGATTAAAAAGAATTTTATTTTTGCCTCCTAATAAACAGGTTTCATATTAAATTCTAATAAATGTAAATTTATGAGGATGTACATGTGTCTTGAATGTAGTTATATTGCAGATTAGTTTAGGACCAGGATTTCCCAAAGAGAAAGATGTATTATTAGAAATAGAAATAACAGACATACAAACACCAGAGACAACCACTTATACTCATAAAGTTTCAAGTGGTAAAGCTTCAATCATATCACGAATGGCAAAAATGGGGCAGTCTATATTACCAAAAATTCCTACATCTACTACCACAGATTCTGATGATACTGAGGCATGCATTATTTTGCTTTGCTCAATGATTTACTCTTACAATAGAATAGAATGAATAAAATAAGCCTTTCTGTTTTTAGGATGATATATCGCATAAACCACCTCATCTAAAAAGAGTAAGAGGATATAATATGAAATTTCATATGTGCAAGCATCCCTACTTAATAGTTTAATAATTTTTTTTTTATAGATTGAATCATCAGAAGAAGAAGTGCACAGAAAGCATTCTCCAAAAGAATTTAAGGAAGAGGTTGTAAAGAATTCACATAGAATACTTAGACCAAAAGGTGATGTGTCTATAGCAAATAGTACTTGTAAACCTTTGGTTAATTCAACTGCCTATACTCCACAATGGTCGCCCACACAAATACAGGTGCATCAATAGGAAATGCATGAATTATTTGATAACTGTATCTTCTTTATTAATATATGGCTTTTTGCAGCCAAATTTTGTTACTTTAGATGGTCGCGTCTATTCATTAGAGTCGCAAACAGTAACTCCAACAGTACCATCAGTAATAGATCCAGGATTGAATGTTTTATTATCAGAAAATAGAATAACAAATGCAGAACTCAGAATGGGGATGTCTAAGATAGCTGACAATGTGCAAAAACTCCTTGACAAGGTATATATACACAAGAGTTATGTCATCTAGCGAAATACTATTATGTGTCATATACAGTTTCATGTTCTTGAACTTCAAAATGCTACAACTCCTATAAAAGATAGGACAGCTTTGGATGCTACTTTAAAAATGTTGTTAAACATAAATGCGTCTGAAGAATCACATAAATCTACTGGTACAGCAGGTGATAATATCACGCAATTAAATGAAATGAAAGACAGAATTATCGTATTGGAAAAAGAATTAAAACAATCGAAAGGTAATACGAACTTCATTAATAATTATGCGTTAGTATGTTAATAAAATATTAACGTCACGACTAATATAGAGCAAATGAAAGAGCTTGACACTCAGAAGGAATGTTTAATGCACGTTAACGAAAGTTTAAATAAAACTATCAAAGAATTAGAAGTATCCTTAAAGGAATCTAATATTGCACTTGATAGTGCAAAGACGAATTTAGAAGAAGCAAACAAAGTCATTGTTAAATATGAGGAACAGTTGATGTCATTTCAAAATAAAGTATCTAAGCCTTCTGAAGAATGCAGTTCTACGGACAAGGTAGAAGCAAAGACAAATTCTTCTATATATAGTAATACTTCTGTTCACGCTCTACTGATTATAATTCTGCTTTCTAGAATGACAGTAAAAATAAGGAAATTAAACAGACAATGAATAAAGTCTATCACGTTTTGTTAGATAAATTTACAGATGAATCTTACTCTAAAGATATAATAAGAACAATAATAGCTGATACAATAAAAGTAAGAACATAAAATATAGTTTATATATATGCAATACTAGTTACACTATCGTTTTTATCAAATTTGTGTTATAGAACGTCACATTACAAGTTCTGTACAACATGAATGAGAACAGAGATATAGAAACAGAGCCAAGTTCTATAAATAGTAAAAGAATGGATATTCCGAATAATACTGAACATACTACAGTTTGTATACTTGTTTGTTTTACATTGTATATTTCAATTTCAAATCTTATTCTTAGCATCTCTTTCTATAGGTACCTTTTATGACACAAAATGAACCACCACCAGTTCCTCCAAATGGTACTGAAGATGATAATGATTGGATGTACTAATAATCATGTATTTTATATATAATTATATTGTATATAGACAAAAAGTTGTCCATAAACATAGTTTATAATGAAATCTCATGTAAATTAAAATTTGTAAATTCCTACGATTCATAGAAATCTTTAAACAACATTTTTGTATATTAAAGAATAAACACTATTTTGAGTATAAGAGTAACATACATTATTGTGTTTCGATAGGTTATCAGAGTTCACAAAATTCTCGATCTCCTGTTCGAACATTTAATATAAGAAAATATAAATAAATTTGCGTTGAACAAGTTGTTAGGTAGTATTAAATGTGATTTAATCAGGTAAAGTGCAAAAATATTCGAATAATCGACAACTTATAATAGTTGCGCTGTAGTTCAGTCATTTGTGTTGTATTAGAAGTGGCGCAAAACTGCAGGGTTTGTTTTCGTAACGATTAGGGGCAATAGGACATTGACAAAAAACAGGAATGTTACGAAAAATGTGACAGAATGTAAGTTGAACTTGAGATTAGAGATTAGTAAATGGTAAAAAAATCCCGCCTGATTTTGTCCGGCTCTTGAGTAATTCTATCCGGCTGTGTTCACGGTTTCTCATCGTCATGGCTTCTACCACGCCAATCAAATCGAAGTCTAACCTCAATATTTTGAGAAACGAAAACAAATAATGCCTGCATTTGAACTGTTATATCATTATCGAAAGAGTTATTTACTCAGTAGAAGTCGTATTAAATAATAATGCAAATTATAATTGAGACGATATTATTTCATTTGTCCCAGAATGTTCTCTACCCTTTACTTTATTTTCAACATATAATAGATCATGTTTATGAGTTTCAAAATCTGACTTCAATTTTTAGGTCATTCCCCTTGCATCATCTATTTTACAAAAAATGATATGAAAGTTACTTATGAATAACATGACGTCTTTATATGTTATCTTTAATAACGTATTATGTATACACAACATATGTTTGATCACAAAATAGATTGATAACTGTATCTTTTATGATGGATGTAAATATTATGGAAGATGAAGACGTATCTTTTCATTTGGGAGAAATGTTTGACAGCTATGAGCAACTGGAACATAAATTGGAGAGATTTTCAAAACATAGTCTAGTTCATTATTGGAGAAGAGATAGTAGAACAGTTAACGGAGCTCATATGAAAACTGCTCGTCCAATTAGTGAATGTTTGAAATACTATTCAGTGAAATATGCTTGTATCTATGGAGGCCAAAAGTTTTTACCACGTGGAGCTGGTAGAAGACAATCTCAGTTAGTTTATAATATATTACTTAAACTAAAGTATTATGACAATTATTATAAAATTAATAAATATATATCTCAATGTACATTTATATGTGCTGTTATTTTATGTAGGTCAATAAGGACAAATTGTCCAGCTCATATTATGTTAAGGGCATCAAAAGATGGTACAAAGTTAGAAGTAACTAGTATTAATAATGAACATAATCATGAAATTTCAGAGGTAAATATCATCAGACTGAACGTAAAAAACAATGTTCCAATATTGTATTTGATTGTATTTTTCACTAGGAATTGTTTAAGAACCTTCCACAAGAAAGAAAATTATGTGGTGAAATTAAGCAAGAGGTACAAGATCTCATGCAATTACATATTGATCGTAAGAGACTAAAAGAATATGTACGATTACGAACAAACAAGATACTTAGATCCAAAGATTTATTTAACATAGCAGCAGCCAATAAGCAAAAGAGAAATATAACGCCTGAAAGAGCGTATCAATTGTTTAAAAAAATTCATGATATAGAGAAGACGCAAGGCAGAGATAATGATGGAAAAATTTATTCTGAATCCGAAGATGAAATTGCGCAAACAATAAAAAGGATAAAGAAAGAACAAGAGTCTCCTTGGGGACAAGATGTACGGTATTTTAATTGATATTAAATAATTCAATAGATAGACAATAATTAGAGGAATTATATTTTAGGGTCTACCAACCGAATTGGAAGTAAGCGAAGGAAACGATGGGGATGATTCGTATAGCGGCCAATTGACTCAAGAAGAAGTAGTAGATGAAATCGATACTACAGAAGGTGAAATATTGAGAACAAGTAACGATGGGGATATTATAGCAACAAATGGTGAAATCGTAGGAGAATTAGTAATGCAAGATGGGGATCCATCTGTAATCGTTGAATCCATCGTAAATGCTGACGGTTCTGTCTTTGTAGATGAAAGAGAATTTGATACTTATTGTAATAATCATTTGTCACAGGCGGTAGACGGTAGTCAATCCCCCGGCACTAGAGGTAATTTGAATTAATTGTTTGAATTTTCTTAAATGTAGGAATGAAAACTGAAAGTTTTATGTTAGGCTTGGATATCGATACCATTACATCTACTCCTATACAACAAAATAGGCCCCTTACACCTCGGTCACCACAAACGGTAAAGTCACCAACGAATACTTTTGACGAAACTGCGGATTCTAGGATTTGGATAATGGAAGATACTACGAATGCTGGGGCAGAGACTGAAACTAAATCCCAGACTAAATTAACTGAGCCGAAGTCGACAACGAATACAAAAACAGATATGAATACTTCTGAAGTGATATTGTCAGATGAAGCCAGTCATCAGTTGCTTCAAGAGCAGCTAGCAGTACTTCGTGCCGAAAAAGGAAAGCTGTATCATGAAACAGAAATGTTGAAGCTTAAAAAGGACAAATTAAAGTTACAGATGAACTGTTATTCGAATGAGATACGAAAGCAAGAAATGGAGAAGGAAAAATTGAGACTTGAGATTAAATTGTTACAGTCAAAAGTTATGGAAGATTCCAATGATGTTTCTCATTATATTTTTGTACCTTGAGCAATCTTTTGCGATGGAACGTGGAATGCTGGAATAGAAGAAATGATATGTAGCGACTAGTCAAAACCTTTTTTTGATTAAAAGCTACAGGATAATCATTTTTGATGAAACAATTCATGTGATCATAAAATATTCTTAGAAAAATTTGTTTATTTATTTAATTTTATTGTACTGTCATTAATAATTCGTAATATAGAATATTCTCTTTATTTTTGTACATATTCGATAAATTTATTTCAAAAACAAGTAATATAGAAATATCGTTGTTATTATTTCATTGCAACACTTTTAACAATCTATAGTACTTAAATATTTTAGAATTTAATGTGGAACCATTTTTATGGTAACTGATACGTGTACAAGTAACTCCTGTGAAGTTATCAAAAGTATATTCAATGTCGATAGCATGGCCAAATGTAAGAACTCTGTATAGATAGCATAATAAATTATTTTATAAATAAAATAAAAACAACATTTAATCATTTTTTGTTACACGGATACATTTACATTTTAAGGTATTGAAATTTACACTCATTACTCAAAAAAACATAATACTTAATATTTTTAATTAAATACTCACTTCTTCCTCAAACTTTTTAACTTCTGCAATCAGTTCTTTTATATCCTTAGACCTGTAATAAGCAGAAGATAAATTTTGACTTTGTACTTTTATATGTATTTGCAGCTTCCGTGTCTTCATTAAATTATTATAGTACATACATTTGTCCGAGGCTATTCTTAATAATCTTTTCTTGATCCTTATTAAGAACAATTTCTTTTTTCTTCTCAATGCTTTCATTGGTTTCTATTTGCCCAGACTGTTGATCCGTTTTCTTTTTAAGTTCTGACAATTTGACATCCATTTCCTTTACTTTTTCCTCCATTTTTCTTAATTCTTCTGCTTCTGCTCTTTCAAGAGGAGTCATCGAAGGCTCCTTGTAGTTTACTAATCGCAATACCTCTTTCGCTCTATGAACACGATTTTACAGTAACATTGTAATCTTACTCAATTGTGAAACAAGATTTTGTACATCTCATACGATGCTTGCATTTGTCTTCGTAAAGTTTCGAGCTTATAACAAGAGACTTTAAATTTACTTTACCTTTTCGCTAATTTTTCTTGGACATCCTTAATATCCTCGTACTGTTCAGCCAAACGTTCAGCAGTTTGTCTTAATTCTTCTTTGGTCTCCATTAGATTATTCAATTCCTTTAGTAGTTGTGTTTTCATTACTTCTAACGCACGCATCTTTTTACTTATTTCTTCTCTCACAATGTCATACTTAACAAAATGTTCTTTGCGGAAAATATCAGTCGCGTGATATAAAAGCTAGTTACGAAGATTTGTTTTATTATTTTTCATGCTCTCTAATCATTGTTTATTTGATTATTTATTGTAATACCTGTAAACATTCTCGAGGGGACATAGACTTCGTACTCATTTTAATAAGTGGCTGCGACGTCTCACGTTTCAACAACTTTTTTATATACACATCAAATTCTTCTTTATGGATCTTTAATATTTGTGTTACGTATAATATATTATTATCAATAGAATTGTAGCATAAAAAGAATTTCTTACTTTATTTTTGTTGTGAATTACTGGCTCCGGGGGTTCAATTTTTGGAAAATAATAAAAATCGATAACTGATCGGGCAATGATATCGCCGTTATGTAATAAAGCTATCAAAACACACGGTTCCTGTAGAAGTCCAAATCCGAGAATCGGTGTAGCATCGTTCATTCCCGTGTGTTCAGTTCTTGTACAAATCAAGTACTGTGAGCTGGATTGATTTGAAATTGATGGCAAGGGAACATCATCACCTTCTGCAATAATTCACTGTCAAAAGTTGTATCCAAATTACGCAAATTAATGTGAGCTAATAAAAATTGGTCTTTTCTTTTTATATTAAGAAATGGAAATTGCAAAATTGTTACGTATTATTGGGATTAAATATATTTTGCAAGAAATTTTTTACATTTCTACAGTTAACAGTTTCTTACCATCCGCTTCGTTGATATATTCTTCTAACTGAGAGACCATGGGCAGATTGATCATATGGATTCCCGCATTGTGAGAACAAAAGTATCTTGACTTGTTACCCTTATCGGACCGAAGATGTATCGGACAATTATACTTCTCATCATTATCCCCAAAGGAAAGACCTAATTCAATTTCAGCATACTCGTATACGTATAATGCATCCTTTTCTGATGTTTGACAATTACTAGTGTAATTGTACTGAGTCGTAGTCTAGAAATATAGTACAATTAATCATGAATAAATAATTCCATTAATTGATTTTGTATTTTTTTTGCAAACAATAAATAAGATATTTACCGTTTCATCATTACCATTTTCCTCCAACTCTTTCAACAGGATAGCATGGTAAATCTTTCCAGTACACATAGCAATAACTACTATTGGAGGGGTAGTTTGTAGACACATGATAGAACAAAAATCTGTTCCGTAATTATCAGCAGCCGGAGGATACATCGACAGTGGTTTAGATACTATTGGACTTTCATGACTTAAAAATAAAATAGAAGAATAATTGTAAAAAAATTAATTAATATCTACTCTGTTTATAAATGGATAGCTGGTTATTATAAAAGCGGTCTAAAAATTTTTATTAACAAAAATTATTTAAATATTGATACGCAAATTGATAGTAATATAAATGATATCATATAAATGAAAATTTTAATTTTTTTTTACTTTTAGATTCACTCAACTTTCATAATAACCGACATAAATACATATATGACTTACTTATGTAAAATGTTGCCTCGAACAATGAGCACTTCTCCATTTCCACGAAGAACTAGAATAGGCCATTCGATCTGATTCCAATCAATCATATTATTCTGAAAAAAATTACTGATAAAATTTCGCGATTCGTAAGATCGAGAACATTTCACGTTTTCTCGCTATACCTTGTTAATGTCTTTACTCGCAAACATTTCCGGTTTCCGAAGAGTAGGCGTAGCGAAATCAAAGTCAATCGCCGTATCACCTAAAGAAGTAAAGTCTGGAAGCTTTGATGGTGAACTAAAAGGTACACGGCCAATCTTCCAACATTTGACCAGTCTTGGCCTGTTACCCAGTTCACATTCGTATAAACTACACAAAAATTAGGATTAACTTTACAATCTTATCTATCAGTTTTTAAAATATATGTCAAGTTAATTGCACAAATGAAGTACTTGTGAATACTTGTTTAATTACTGATTAGAATATGAGCAATGTTACTGAAGATACCACTTAATTACCGAAATGTATTTTCGGATGTTAACACCAGTAGATGTGAATCATTTGTAGAAGCCGGATGCCACCTTGCCTTTCGAATATCTACCGTTTCACTGTGTACTCTGGAATTATATAAACGTGAAAACATTCTGAATATCATGCAGAGAATTGTTTATAATTAGTGTGAACTAGGTAGAAAATGTAATAATTAAATATTCCTAACACGATAAAAAAATATTTATATGCAGCCTTTGATATTTCATTTTATGAATTTCTTATTTCATTGTTAACGATCCATACACTCGTCTGGTCAGGCATTTACTTATATTACTTCCAGAATCATTGACTTAAGTACTTATGTAATATGTATTATTATTTCACTTTTGATTACGCTGTTATTAATATTATTTCGTTTATCTACGTTGAGATTGAGCATATACAGTTCTGAGGGAAAAGAATTATTACTGATTACCGTAATTTAAGTAGCCAGGCAAGTGTCCCGCTACTTAATCCACGCGACGTGTCGTTATTTAACGCAAATTACCCTAATCTTTCGCGATTGCCGTACCCTCGTCGTGTAACGAAGGAATACACCAGAACGTCGTGGTGTTTATTTTTCACGGGACGAGTCGGGACGCGGTGACGATGGTCGCCTACATTTCGTATATTTTATTATTACTCTCGCACTTTCCGTGGCTGGACACGGTAACGCCGGCAAAAGGGGTTGACGGTGGTTAGTCGTGGCCGTTATTAATGTCCACGGCGCAGCGTAGCTGAAGGGTGGGGAAGGAGGAGGCAAGAAAAAGAGAGAGAGTAGCGCTGAAAAAAGTAGGAGGAAGGATTTGACGCAAATGGGGAATGAGAGAGAAAGAGACAGGCAGAGAAGCCTGTGGAAAAAGAGGGTGGGAGAAGAAAAAAAAAGTCAATGGGCATAGGGCATAGGGTATCGCTAGCAACGACTGGTTACACCGAATATACGAGCGACAAGGACGAAAGTAACTCTACCAGCGCCCCGCTGCAAAAGCACGCCAGAGTTCTTAATAATTGATAAAAATGTACGCACGCACGCACCAGTAGAGAGAGTCGGTCGAAAACCAGACGACGTGGTCAACCCCTGGGCTTCGTTCCGCCCCCCTCTACACCACGCTCTGTCCTCGATCTCACTCGTTTCCTCCCTGGCCGGCTTTTCTCCTTCTCTTACCCTTTGTGCACCCAACCTTTCATGCTTCGTTGACAAAGGCACACGCAACGATTTATTCGCACTTTGCACTGTAGCCTCGTGGGGATTTTTCTTCGTTCTGTCACAATTTCGGTATTATCAAAATTTATAGCCACCCTTACGTACCGCTGGACCATACGTGTTTCCTATCCCCGCCAACCACGGCTAACCGGTTCACGCGGTTCTAAATATTGCATTTCATTGTTCTGAGCCTCGGTCTATTGTTTGTTAGGAGCCATAACGAAAAAGCAAGCTTCATTTTAGGAAATAAATATCGATATCGTTATTAATATTATTAACATGAACGACTATTTATTGTTCAGATTTTCTAAATTCGATTTTATAACAAGTTCAATTATACGATCAATTCTCATAAGCTATACAAAATAGTATTAATATAAGTACGATGCTGGGTATCTTGTTGCTGTTTCGAGGGTGGAATCTGGAAGATCATATCTCCAGGTATGTAGTTTCATTACGGTCTCAATTATAAATCTGACAGGGTCTATTATCTTAAAGGGGAAATATGTCTAATAATGCTCGAATTTTTGGACGCGGGTCAACACAGAGACGTTTTACACATCGTGACCCATCACGGTCCCGGAACTTACGGGCAAATTTCTTGGCTGAAGAAAAGAAAGAACTAACAGAGGCAGCTGCTCGAATCTAATTACGAAATTCTTACACGGCAGTGCCGCGTATTCTCCCACACTCTTGCACCCATGCTTGTACACTTCTCTCTTGTCAGAAGCGTTCTAGAAAAAATTAAAAATAATTTTTCCTACATAAACGTATTAACCCCGGGCGGAGCGAAGCTTTTTACGTCGCGCTTTTCTTCCAATTTGTACAAAGAATGGCGCGGGCCTGACTTCAAAGCGAATCTTACGTATTATTTTGTTCTAGGAAACTTTTCTGCGTCGTAGTTACCTTCGTTCTGAGCTTAAGTTGTCCACGTATTTCCGTTGCGGCTTTTCACCGACTTTGCTAAACCCTTCCACGTTTCTCGATAATTTACCCAGCTTGTTTCAACTTTTGTGCTTTCCTGTCTACTGCGTTAAACTGTCCTCAGTATGTAATATAAACTATTGTTCTTATGTCAGTATCAACATATTTTGTGTGCAACGATGACTGCACGTTCTGGACTATGCTAAAGCATTATTGGGAAATTTCAATACATTTTAATATTTACGTAAACGTTCATAGTTCCGAAGAAGGTACGTGAAAATATTTCAACATGTTCAAATGTTATACGAATTGCTTCTTAGCGATTAAATTGAAAATCTTGAAGATAGACAAAACGATTGGATTAAAAATAAAGAACTTTAATTTGAGGATGAAAATTCAAATGAAATACAATCAAAGTTTTAACTGGACAGGATATCAATCTAGCTATGGGACCCGGCTAACTGGAAGAGGAATCCGGTCACGCGAATGAGCATTAATGGCTTTATAATCTAATGAATTTTTAGGCTAAGCGGCGAAAAGGCCAGTGGGAGATCCGGATAGGTTTTTTCCCCAAGATTTATTGTCGAGAAAGAAAAGATGAAACCGGGAGAGTTCACTTATCTTTCGTTCGCCGTTGGACGTTACCTTTAGACCGATGCGCCGCTATGAGATAAACTTTCATTTTAATTACACAAAAACAAAGGTTTCTCGCACATTTGGTGAAAAATATTTAATGTATTGTATATTAATAATTGTATCGTAAATTATTTTTGCACATATAGTAGTTATGTACATGGTGTCCTACGAGACACTGGACAGTCCTTTATTTCTTAAGTTATGAGAGGTAGACGAAAGTTTATACATATACGAAACATGCACGATTCAAGGGGGTACGTCTTTTGATAGAAACAATTTTTTTATGTTGTTATTTAAATTTAGTTGAATATTGTCTACGATTATGATAATAATAAGTAAATGGGAAACGTCTGACGTCTTTTCTTGATTTCACAACTTTCAGGAGCTTCTTTTCACTAGACTATAATTTTTATACATAAAATTATTTTATTGGAATAACGCATCTCAAACTTGCCTAATTTTTTTACTTTTTCATAAAAAAGTTAATTTTTTGAGGATAAGATACGATGGTAAATTCTATTCTTTCAAATGTCAAGGCAGCATTGACAACCTCTATCAAATGATGCAAAAACAGTACATAGACTTATCTATAAAAACAAATATGATCCTACCCCATTAAATAATAACGTAACAAAAAATTAGTTTGCATCGAAAGATGTGCCCCCTTACTTACTATAAAAGCTTTCGCCCATCTCCCATAATTTAGCAAATAAAGGACAGTTCAGTGTTTCGTGGGACACCCTGTATGTACAATGCAGGTACTTAATCGATATGAATGTTCGGTAAGAAGGTAGTGCACTTAATTCCGCTCGGTGACCTCGTAACGACCTAATATCGTTTAGTTACTCGGAGTATTTTTATTACTCTTTAAGGTTGGCCAGGGTACAGGCGACAGCGCGGTAGTCGAAGGGGCGGTGTGCCCGGCTTAGGAAGCTATGCTCACGATATAACGAGAGTCATTATGATAAGCGGATGCATAGATTAGGCATAATTCGTTAAGCCGGCTGCGTACGATGCCTGTGACGAAATACGGTGTATCAGCAATCAAGCGTGTTTTTATTTGACAGAAAATCAAGCGCGTAATTAGGGATATAAAACCGACACTGCGTAAAAAAACCAACGCCAAATTGTAAACGGTAACTATTATATTTACAACAGAGTAACGATAACACGTGTTGGGAATATTTCGACGTCAATGAAATCGGTGGGATGTACTTGTTTGTACATGTTTATCTTAAAAACCAGTCAAACGTTCCTTTACCTTGTTGTGATATACGAAGCAATTCGATCGATTGCATGAATATGTATCATCATGTAATCAATTGTCGTTTTCAGTTTTTGAACATATCAGAACTCAACTTTGTCCTGGCAGCAAGTTCATGACTTTAATCCATCAACTTTTCACAGTACATTTAAGTGAAGGGACGTAAGATCCGCGAGAACGATAGTTGGCTCCTCAGTTGTGGCTTACGGATGAGCCACGGGTACGGAAGGCGCGAGAAATGGGGGTGGTGGAAAGGGAGGGTGGCCCATAAAATCGGGATGTTACGCAAAATATAACGAGCAACGTTCCGCTGGGCTGGCTGACGTTCCTGCCGTAATTCATTCAGCTCTCGCTAGCGTTCGCCTCCTCGACGACACCTGCGTCGGCAACTAAGCCCGTTAATTCTCGAGGTTGCGTCGCGCTTTCATCGCGCCCATCGGTTTCCAACGGTGTTCCTTTCTGTTACTTTGTAGTATCCCTTGCGTGCCTTGCTCCTCAATCTTACAAACCCACAACGTGCCCGATCATAGAGCCCGAGAGATTAAGATGACCGGCTAAATCGTCTTACATGCCTTTATTGTTGAATGAATTTAGTTGTATGTATGTAAAAAAATACTTAAGGTTGTATAGGCTATATACTTAAACAATGCTAGCATGTTGAATTTGTTATTATAGATTCCTATTACTATTAAAAAGCTACTTGCAAAATTTTAAATCA